GGAATGGGATCCAGGAAAAAAATCAAACCGGAAGAGGAATCGGGGGAGAACCAAAAAAAGCAACCAATGAAAAAGAGAGTCCCTGAACAACTGGGAGAGGTGAGCCTGAACAGCAGAAATGAGAACATAAGAAAGAAAGCAGACAGAGAAAGGTCGCTCCCCGTGAAACGACGCTCCGTGGAGCACAGTTTATAAGCGCACCAAGTGAAGAAGCGGCTGACGAATCCGTAATCAATTTGATGAAAAACAGAGGCTCGCACGACCGCCATCGACATCGTATCATCGTCGACGCGCGGCGGCGCGGGACCGAAAGGTAATTCGGCAACCGGGCGACCATGAAGTCGGGCGAACATATGCTGGGGTAAATTCCCGCCGCGGGTGGGGAACAAAATCCGCCCTATATCCCAATGCAGACAACCTCTCTTTGATAAATAGAAACGCTTATTTACTGTGACTAATGAATTTCATATCTATATTTTGCTACAACTCACTCAATAATCATCAAGACAAGATGTGACAAGTTCCTTGTTGTTTCACAGATGCAAAGTTCTATTCTGAAATTAATATTTCCCAGCTACCCCTACGCGTAACGCCTCACTGCCTACCCAATATCGGTTTTGTAAAGTGTGTTTATTTCGCGTCGCCGAAGAGTCACTATTTTGGTAGTTTTGCCCTAAACGGCGGCAGCTGGTGCTGTAATTTTGGCGAAGATATTTTTGGTGAGGACCAGAAAATTGAGCTGTTGTTTGATTGGATGCGATGGAAAGGGTTGCAGGGAGGGTAATTTCAATAACAATGCCGAATTCAGATGATAATATGGAGTGTGTAAAGGAACGCAGTCTTCTCGACATATTGCACCATTCAAATCTGTAATGGTTTACTGTACATGTACATGTATATGCACTACAACAATCAAGAGAAATTATGGGTATTATTATCAAATTGTGCACTGAGTTTTCCACTTTGATATTGTTTGCAATCATCGAATCAGATCAGAATACCAAGTATTATGTTACTGTCAGAATATAATTTGTTACTCTCTGTCATAAGTAACACGCGTAAGAGGAAACAAAATTACTCTCACATCTTTAAAACGGGTCTCGATTTGCTAAAAACTAAAAGCACAACAGAACTTAAGATATTTCAATAATGCTCTTGAGTTTATGCTGAGTTCTTTTCATTCGAAATTAGGGAAACAATAGAAAACACACTTTACAAATATACGCCTAACAACTAAATCATAAAGATAAATAATGACTCCCACGGATATATTGCATGTGTTTTATGGCATAATATTTTCTTGGTGCAATTTCTCATGAACTACACATTTGTAACAACTTTCTCTTCCAAAATATAACGTTATGAGATTATATTTATAAAAACTAGAGTTGGACCTTTTCGTAACGTTGGTTTGTTTGTTTGTTTTTTTCTGTTTAAGTTGCGCATAAATTAGAATATCGTAGAAAAGAAATGATAAATCGTAATATAATTCAAATGTGAAGATTGTCGAAGTGCACTTGATACAAGAGAATTTTGATGTGTTATCCTTCGCTTTATCATTTCTTTTAGCCGAGTTCTAGCACCCGGGTTTTAGCACCACCATTATCATCATCACCACAGTCGTTGTTATAAATCATGAATGCCAAAGTGATTGTGTTCGTATCTTGCTTTCGTACCATTTCGTCAATATCATCATCATCGCCGCTATGTCATCATCATCATCATCATCATTTTCATCAAGTCGTCATCATTGCAGTCATCAGCATTGGCCATGTAATGACAGAACTTAAATAAATGAAGTATTTTCTTTATTTCTATGTCCACTCAAAGACCTAACAAATCTGCTATCGTATATTTTACGTTTCGATATGGTTGTACAATAGTTCATAAGATTTCACGTTGAACTGTCCAAGTTTGTATGAAAATCCTCCGCACATATGGAGCCTAGCCTCGCCACTTGTCATCAACTTCAGATCTCCACATTTCCTTTACAATTTAGGTTTGTATAAATATTTCATTTCTATTCTGTATATAACTCTTTGGAACGTGACACAGATGAAAAAGATGGAAATTGAACAGGCAGTGCTGGTAATTTTCTGTACACTCTTACTCCAAGCCTTCAACAAACTCCTTCACGGCTCTCACTCTTTCCATCTCTCTCTTCATTGTGAAAATGCCTCTCTATCAAGACAAATATTTGTACAATTCATTTACTACAGGTCTTTATGTTTTCCCCTTTCCTGTTCTCAAAAGTACGCGTCACCCCGAAGCAGTCAGATGAAATTTTGGTTAAAATTGCACACATACGCGGCACAAAGGAGCCCCCCGAAACACACCAATAAAAGTATTTGCCGTCTCGATATGATAGCGCATGTTTTATAGAGTGGAAGGCGCTGAGTTGTAGGGTTTTCATTAAATGGCAATGAAATGCAAAGCTGATTATTGGTTCTGAAAACATAGGAAATACATTGCTCAGGGCCCACGTGTAAACTCGTTTGGCTGAGCTGACGATGTTGTTTATTATGTAATGGGCTAAAAATGTCACGACTTCCCGGTAGCGTCCCAATTTAAAAGACAACCTCTGGTGCAGGAGTGTAATAGGGATGGGTTCATTTAGTATTCATTTATTTATCTCTTTGTGCCTGGCCTGACCCATCTCTGTCTATTTAGTCCTGATATCTGTACTATGTTATTGGTTATATTTTCTCACACCGCCAAATAAATATTAAAAGCTGGAAAAGAATTACATATCTGTACTATTCTGTTGGTTATTAACTCACTGCAAGGTAGAATTCAAAGGACTCTTTATTATTTTATTGGATTATTTGACACACCAGCAAAATGAAAAATACATTGGATATTTGTATGCCTTTTTGTTCAATCACTGTTGATCCATTTCCCCCACAGCATCAATAAATCCATCAAGCCGGTTTAGAATTGTTAAATTATTTTAATTTTGTGTGTATTTAACGTATTTCATGAACTAGTGAAACGTAAGCTAGGCCATAAACATTGTACTGATTGTCTTTCAACAACAATTCTAAATTTAGCCCTCATGAACTATTAAAGTATGTGTCTTTCAAACATCGGTCCCAGGTTTGTCGAGAAAAGCAAGTTATCCTCAAGTGGGAAAATATTTAAAAAAATAAACAGATAAGTTCACCAGAAACATGAAATACCACTAATCCGATAAAGATAGTAATACTACAACATTAAGTATACCAATCAATATAAATACGAAATAATTTCTTGGTTTTCTAAGCAGTACAAAAAAGGGCGTGGGTATTATCGTGGCTTTTTTTAATGTTTGTAAACGTTATCGTTGTTTTGGGGGTACATGTAATTTGGAAACATGCGGTCAGTTGCAAATAATAAAAAATTTAAAAAAATGCTAGGGGTTTTGGTTTTGTCAAATATTTTAAATGGCAGTATTAAAAGGGTTTCTTATCGAGCGATTCAACTGTTTTCTTGTCATTCAAACATAGTTTGCAGATTCAAAATATGAACAAAGTAATTTTTCTTTCCCCTCCGCGTTTGATATACTTTCTTGTTTTTCCTTCTTTTATTGGAAGTTTACATGCTTGGCCTATATTAACGATGTGAGTTTCATATTCCAGGATTTACTTGTAACTAAATTATTAATGGGGACAAATATAACTTCTAGAAAATTGCACCTCTATTGCACACCTTTCGCTTGCATGTATGTCTATTGAAAGAATAAGTGGCTGAATAAAAATACTTATTTGAAATAAATGATATGATATTCATGTTATTATCAAATTTCTCAATGTAGATAAATACATTTTTTATACAGGTATTACAAGTCCCTAAAGTCATTACCTTTCTCATATCATTTTTATTTTTAGATGCTGTCATCGCATTAAAAATAAAATGATTTGACAAATTATCATCTAATAGTTTCATTTAAAGGGATCCGGTAACTTTGTCTCAGATTCTGAAACAAAATTCTGGATTTAGCTCATGATGCAATGATAATTATAAACCTTTAGGTCAGTCAGGAAACCCATGACTTTTACAAGCCGATCACCAGTCTGATTGTCAAGATATTTATGATTGGAATTACAAATTTTGAAAACCGTTCGCCTGACGGGTTTTCATAACACTACAGTCTATTGAGGAAAATGAGTATGGTAAAACCGGTCACTCAAAGATTTTTACTCTTTTGAGGCACTTCTTGATCATTTTTATAGGGCTTCAATATTACACCATATCACAGACACTGATAACACGTAGGGCCATGTATCTCAGATTTAACATTGTTAAACGACCCCTTTAACACCTCGCCAATACATTTTATGAATGGAAAATGTGATAACTATTCTATAAAATTCTTTACAATAGCTGATTTCAATATTTTATGATATCATCCTCTTATCTCCATTCAAACCATTCAAACCAAAAACAATAAATGGCTTCTTAATTAATCTGAAAAGTTAACCTAAGCTACTTATTGTCACAAACACAAACATGATATAAAATAAGGTATGAGACTGACTTTTCGATTAACAAGCTCTACATAATCCCTAAAGTAAAGTGACGATTTTATAAAACAGTTAGAGCACAACCAATTTTCCCGAATGCAGTCGCTGATGGCGGTGTCGAACAACCGCCAATAGTTGAGTCGTTACTTTGTAGACCACGCCCTTGTTGGTAGGAGGTATTTGATTGACAACGCTGGTGCCAGTCTGTCTGCCAAGGCTGAGCGTTGTGTGTGGTGCGCGCGACTGATCATACCGTATAGGTATCACGCAGCGAAGTCCACGCCGCAAGACGGGGGAACACTCTGTAGGGACCGCCCAATAACAGATTGAGGTATGCGTGCTTTGTGTGTGTAAATGTGTGTGTGTGTTCATGGCCTACCATAATCACGCAGGTTGCCTTCATCCAGAGTTTAGCAATACACACACACGACATGTTTTACGCACCCTCACACACGCACACACTCACTCAACTTGAGAGCTATTATACGTGCGTCTGCGTACCGTCGGCTACTGGTCACACACACACACACACGCACAGGAACAAACTTATTGCCACTTAGCGCCCGACAAACTTATCTCACCTGTGCGGATGGGCTGAAAGTGAAAACTAAGACAGGAGACTTCTTTTCAGAGAAGAGGGGGACAAGAAAAGTTACTCTTTCACTTGCTCTTCACACCGACAGGTTGACTGTCTTTGATCTCCAGAATCTGCAGCTTCAGTATACAGCAAATAACAACTAAAAATTGTCAAAGTAGACACCGATTCTTTCATCTCTGGTTCAACTTAAATTTGTGAAGAAGAGTAACAAATTTCGTCGTGATTTCGTCGGAACTTTGCAAATGTCTGTTGCTTGTATTTTACAAATTATCGGATTGTTCAATGTTTGGAACTCTTATACCAGTTAATCTTATATCCAAAAGATGATTTGCTGAGATTTGTTCAACTTTGATTGAAACTTCGAGGAAACAGACATTTTTTCGTTGACTGCTGACTAAAATCGTCGTGATAATCTCATCGTTTTTTTAAAGAAAGCAGGGTCAACAATTGTGATTAAAAACGTTTGTTTTTATAAGTTGTGCGACTTTTCTGTGAAATATCAGGATGCCTCGCCCAGCTCGAAGTACATACAGTGATGCCAAGCCGCCATATTCCTACATCTCCCTAACGGCTATGGCTATCCAGAGCTCGCAGGAGAAGATGCTACCCTTGAGTGATATCTATAAATTTATCATGGACCGTTTTCCTTATTATCGTAAGAACACCCAACGCTGGCAGAATTCTTTGCGGCACAATCTGTCTTTTAACGACTGTTTCTTGAAGATCCCACGTCGCCCCGACCGACCAGGAAAAGGCAGCTACTGGGCTCTGCATCCGCTCAGTGCCGACATGTTCGAGAACGGTAGTTTTCTTCGACGTCGAAAGAGATTCAAGTCTCCAAGGATCGCCACCATTGACCACAACATGCAAATCAAACAGATCGATTCGGCGAAGATTTTCCAGGAGCAGGCGAAGGTCGGTCTGCCTCCGTACCCCCCTCCACCTATCATTCAAGCTTCGCCCCCGATGATGATGCAGAAGATGCCTCTTTCCTACTACACGTCAATGTCCAACTCGCCAATAACGCCGACGTCGACTGTTACGAACTCGAGCAAGCAGTCTTTCACTATCGAGAATATCATCTCGCCAGACTTTAAGCCATCCACAACCAAATCACCGGCGACGCCGCCTACACCGCCGAGAAGCTCGCCCGTCGCGAGCATCGATGTTGTGAAATCTCGGCCGAGCCTCTGTAACGGAGCGTGGTGCGACGATCTCCCCGTGACTCGTTCGACGGATATGTGCTGTGGACAGTCCCGGGACCAGCCCCCGTGTGCCGAATGTATAGCCAGGATGCGAACTCTTCTACCGAGACCGATTTTGGGCCATTCCCCCGCCATGCCAGTCCCGATTCGACCAGCTTTCCACGGTTTTGGGCTGCCGAGTCAGTGTGCTCCAGCCCTATTCCCCGGGGTACCTGCCGGGTGCATCTTGCCCCTCATTAGGAGAAACATTTCGGAACACATCATAAAAGCGTAACACTCATTATCAATTGGACTGTACCAAAGAAGACAAATAGAAACACTGATTACGGAGGAAAAAGACTCTTAACACGGACAGGTAAATTCAAAGTGTTCAAAAATGTATAGCATATTGTAGGAAAATAATATTACATTCAGTTTATACATAATTATGACATCTTGCACAGAAAGACTTTTTTTGTAAATTGAGTGATAGATGATTACTCTGCATGAGAAATTCATATTGTTTAAAACGATGTGTGAATTCTGATTCAAATTGCCAACACACTTATACTTTGTATATGTCTTTCTAATTCCGTGGACGAGATTGTACTGTAGCAATCACGAAAATACGTCCAAATAATCCGACACGTGAAGCTTTTTCCTGAATGTATCTCTCGTAATCTTGTCATGATAATTAGTATAAGAATTCGAATGATGATATGAGAAGAACATTCTAATTATTGATTAGTGTCACTTTTTTTTTTGTATAACTTTCTCATTATCTCACACACCAGTTAATCTAGATCTTGTCTGCCATTATTTGTGTTTGTATAAATTTTAATGACATAACGAAACAAAGTAATTATAGTTATTTATGTCATGGTATGAAATGCTTTAATATGTATCATGGAATGTCTGTTTTAAATGTTGCGTTTAAATAAAACCCTTAGGGTTTTCCACATATTATGTGATTGTTATCAAAATTGCCAGATAATCTGTACAAAATAAGGATATAATTACATGTCTTGTGAAAAGAATATAATTAATAAATACGTACGCAGTACAATCGAGGTTCATTTACAACAAGTATGAATATGTAATATTTTTGTTTTGTATTAAGGCACACTCTTACATGATAAAAAGTCTGCTCATCGTTGCTCACGAACAATACATAATCAGGAATGTAAGAACTAACTGAACATATCCAACAGATATCACAGCCAAGATCGTATCTGAATTAGCCGAACAATATTTGTACAACATAGAGTGCAGAACAAGATAATTGTCTACATATCTTCTCAAAGGTTTAAGAGGCTAATATGGTATCTTCAAGTGTCACAACTACATGTAATTAGAGTTGTATTTTGTTGAATTTGTGTACCTAAATAACTTCTAAAAGCTGTTAACTTACAAGAAAAAGTCATAAAAACTTCACATGTATTACAAAGTCTGAAATGAAAAAAGAAAGACATTTGATTTGGCAATCAATGCACGTGAATTCAACTATTCCTCATTGTCTCAGAGAATAATGAAATCTGTGTAGATTCTGGAAAATATTATTTGTTAGTGTCTGCAAATACAAGTTTTTAAATCAAAATTGTGGCAACAAATTGTGATTTACCAGATACATGGACACTCAAATTCTTTTCTTCTGTATTTACTATTATTTCAGACTTTCTAATAGTGATGACAAGTTTTTTTTGTTTTTTATTAAAACTTATCGAACTATATTTGTTGATCATTATTAACGTTTTGTTTAAACATGTTATCTGAAATTCATTCAAAAAATATTCAATGCAAACAAACATATGGGAGCAAAGAACATTCAAGTGTTTGTTGAGGTAAAGAGGTATTCAAATCGCAATAAAATCCTTTTTTAACCCACAACTCTCGCAAAAGCAGAATCGGCTATTCACATAACTTCCTGATTATAGGACACAGTTTTGGTACATAAGACCAAACCATGCATGAAATCTTCAAACAGGAGACTTACAAATCCGGGAGAAAAACAAACAATAAGGCAAATTCATGCATTTTTCTAACCATAGTCGTTCAGGGGTATATCCATTTAAAACATTTCCTGAAAGATAATCTGAAAAACTTCATGGGCTCTGTCTTGAACAATTTCATTAACAATTTTCACTGAGAAAAAAATGTCAATACTGTTATTTCAATCACCCATTTCATTCAAAGCATACATTTTCATGGTAGAATTTCACTTTTTTTTAATATCGAAATGAAAAGACATTTTAGATAAAGCTGTTTTTGTGGTGTTTTTTTTTAATCGGCCATCTTTTTAAAACGAATTACATGATTCTAATTGCAAGTTGTACATGATGTATGCCAAAATTTGAATATATATAATTCTTTTAACCATTATTATTAACATCATAAATGATCATAGTGCAAATCATAAATTCATATAAAGTTTACTTATATGTAAAGGATGAAATACCAGGGACATATTCTTAGGAGCATCCTCAATTTCGTTCTTCTAAATAACCCCCCAAAATCAAATATTCAAACAGGATTTCAAAGAACTTTTAAATCAGTTGTGGCCATTAGTCACCCGTTGTTGTATCAACTTTATAAGCAGGCCTACTCAGTTACCCAATCTGAGTGAACTTTTACGTTCTAAGGTCAGGACTATGATATCTGACCTTTGACGAGTGATGTAAAATCTCAAGTGCAAGCTTAAATTGGGGATTAAATCCTTTCTTCCTATTACAAACAGAAAATGAAATGAAATGTTTCACCTTGAGGTTTTGATCGGCTCAACTAAAACGTCAAAGCGGCGGTGTTTCTTTTTCCCTTTTCCTCTCTGTATATGAAACTTTAGAGGCGATAATCCCTAACATAAATACTTATGAGTTGTTACCTATTATAAAGAATTATTATACGGAGCTTGTGGGTGAGATTGTTTCCCCGCTTAATACACACATAGTTTGCATGTATCGCTTACTTTGTGTGTAGCGGTGAGGAATAAAGAAAAAGAAATGTAAACTTGAAGTTATTTGAGAAGGATAATCCCGAATTCCATTGCAAGAACAGGCTTCCCTATTATACTGTCAAGGCTGATTTTTTTTTTCTTTCTTGAATACTACTTCAAATCACACCTGGTTTATAAAGCCATTTTAGAATTTTAAACGTCCGAATTCGGGTTCTAATGGATTATTGTTAGGTATTAATACAGATTAAAGAAAAGGCATTATCTCAAATTCTAGAGTACACTGTACAGTCTGTACTAAAAGAAACAAGCTTACCCTTTTTTACCAAATGATATTTACCATGTGATTGCTTGTCAGCTTGTATTTAAAATCCTTTGGTTTGGTTTGCAAAAAGATATGTAAATTCACGATAGAATATTAAGGCTGCCAAAGACATTATTGAACCGAATATCAAATTGATATACCCTTGTTTGTACAACAGTTGATGTCTTGGACAAGTATGTATATTACCGTTATTGTAGTTAAACACTATGAATTCAATCATTATTCCTGTGCATAATTCATGTTTAAATTGTCATGGAAATCTAAATCTATCAAAATTGAAAAAATAAATATCTGAAAGACATAAATATTTTTGATAATTTGAATTATTTTAGTGTGTGTTGTTGACCACGGGATTACTATGGATTTTTGTCTTCTTGTGAAATGCCCATTAAATAAAATGTATAGACTACAACAATGGGCTACATGTAAGTTCTATAGGTGCATTAGTCAAACGGACTACGGAAATTTGAATATCACATAAGATAGGGAGAAACAAATTAAATATTAGGTATTATAGTTCAGCTATCAAACCCACCAGATCCCCCTTATAACACTCAAGAAAGAACGGTTAGGCACAATCGATATATATACTTTTTTTAATGATAAATACATTTAATGCAATTAAACTCAGTATACGCCAAAAGCACCCAGTTAATAAACATCTAAATTACATATACAAGTACGATGTCAAATCTGTACATATCTAATTTCAGTCATTCAGTAATTATGGCGGTTGTATTGTATTTGGACCATCAATCTTATTGACATCGGACGCTTCCCTTGACAGACACGCACATATAAACACACGCACATACACACACACACTATCATCGCCCACACTTTTTCTACTCACCGTCCATTTTCCACACACGTACACACACGCCAGTCATAGCGGAGATCTAATTGAAATCGCAGTTTATCATCCCAATGGTCATCATCATCATTGCTTCGGATTGATTGGAAGATAATGGAGATGTGATGAGCAAGATCTGGCCTCGCTCCGAGACGCATGGCTAGGCTGTGAGGGCCCGTGGTTGACGAGCAGGAGAAAAGTGATACTCGATCGTTTGTTTCCCGGATATCTGTCCGGCCAGACTCCATCTGTCACATTTAAGCATGTTTAGGAAATCATCTCTTCTGGTCCTCGTTTATTGTCTAATATGGAGGTTATATCATAATCAAGGAAACACGGGTAGAAGAAATTGTGTTTTTGAACACGATAGATGAGCGTGATTCCAATACATCTATATGTGTCATTGAAATTGCCTGACCTTAATAGACGTACAAATAGTAAAATAAGAATGAGAGATTTCAAACAAATTTGATGTGAATATTAAGCATTTAGATGTTTAATGGAAAGGATATTTTGGATTTTAGAAAGATATTCCATATTCTGTCTGAAAGTGAAATTCCACTATTTACTGTAAAGTTTAGGAGCAAATGAAAATATACACTACCCAATGAGCAAATTTGGCAATACATGAAACAGGAATACAGCAGAGATATTAAAAATCAAACGGCAATATATACATGTAGGCTATGCAACATTAATTGTTGTAATATAGCTCACGAAGTAGCAGCAAGTAATACAGAATTGCGCATATTCCATCAACACACTTACAATTATTTTCGAAAAATCAACTCAAGGGCAATATCAATACGTCATTATAATCCCATAGCAATCATGTTCACATTACGTAATACGCATTGTCATGTTCGCACCTTTCAATAGGTGACGTGAAAACTATTGACTGCAATTGCTGTCGGTTGATTTTTCGAAAGTAGTTGCTATCGTGTTCAAATTAAGTATAAATATACAGCAGACAATATATTGAGTCACGGTAACAATAACAGGACTAAAATACATGTAGTTGTATTTGATGGTTGAGATAAAGGCTTGGAATACGAATATGAGATACGTTTATGCGGACCTGGTGGTGATGATGAAAGCGGTAGTAATGAGAGGATTTTGGTGATGGTATTGATATCACTAATATTTACAATATATTGAGTCACGGTAACTATAACAGAACTAAAATACATGTAGTTGTATTTGATGGTTGAGAAAAAGGCTTGGAATATGAATATGAGATACGTTTATGTGGACCTGGTGATGATGATGAAAGCAGTAGTAGTGAGAAGATTTTGGTGATGGTATTGGTATCACTAATATTTATTTGATGGGACCTCAATATGAAACATGAAAAGGTGAAACCAAGTTACTGAAAGCTTTGTGATGATTAAGATGAAGATGCTGCGGCTATGCTGATGATAAGGAAGATGATGTGATAATAATACTGGCGATGATGATAATGATAATGATGATGACCATATAATTGATGCCAGTGATGACTATTACTACAGTTTTGGTGGTGGTGGTGGTGGTGGTGATGGTGGTGATAGAATTTAAAATGATGGATATGATGACAGAGATGATAATGATGATTACGATGATACAAAGGATAATGATGATTACGATGATAATGATGATGATAATGAAACAAATGATGATGGTGATGATGATAATAATGATGTTGATGATGATGTTGATGATAATGATGATGAGGGCAGTTATTAATAAGAGTGCAGGGGGAAATATAACGATCGTAGTAACAGCAAGAAATTATGATGAAGAAGTTGTAACATTCACTGTTCTGTTATGATAATGCTGTTTGATGGCATTTTAGATAACAAACATAATGTCCTCCAACAATTTTTCACACAGATCTTTATATTAATTTGTTTTTATTTTGACGGTGGCATAGACATGTTAACCGAGAAGGGGAAACTTCCAGCATTCAAATTTCACCCTTAAAATATTTTCGCAAAGATTAATCAAGGCGTCGATAGGTTTACAAACTGAGGCATTCGTCAGGCTTATTCTTTCATTAATGTAGACGTGAATTATTATTAACAACATGTCATTAAACCTACTCTCTATAGTATTGCAGCGTTGATCTGAAGTTATATGCACACTGATGGGATTTTAGATTATTCATAACTTTGTTTAATATGGATGGATATGGATATGTCATACATTTCAAAGATTTTCCAGCGAATTCGGGGTCAAATTAGATACATTTTTAGCAGTTTATACTCTATTTTCTTGCTTCATAAATAAGTCAATGATCAAACCTCCTACAAATATGCGGAAAGCACCTATTTGAATATTTGTCATAATACATACTTAATGCTGTCTACTAGTAGAAGTAACAAATAATGTTTTTAAAATGCCAATCATCTTGCCTCCTTTTTTTTTTCTTTGTTTACTTGTAAAATTTAACTTTCAAGAATGGAGAAAAGAAGAAACAGGAGCGAAAATACTAACTTACGTTGTAGTGGTAGTGGTAGTAGTAGTAGTAGTAGTAGTAAATGAAGAAACAGGAGCGAAAATACTAGCTTTAGCCGTTGTTGTAGTGGTAGTAGTAGTATCAGTATTAGAAGTAGTAGTAGTAGTAGTAGTAGTAGTAGTAGTAGTATTAGTAGTATTAGTAGTATTAGTAGTAGTAGTAGTAGTAGTAGTAGTAGAAGTAGTAGTAGTAGTAGTAGTAGTAGTATAGTAGTAGTAGTAGTAGAAGTAGTAGTAGTAGTAGTAGTAGTAGTAGTAGTAGTAGTAATAATAATAGTAGTAGTAGTAGTAGTAGTAGTAGTAGTAGTAGTAGTAGAAGTAGTAGTACTAGGACGAGAAGGAGGAGTAGCAGGAGTAGGAGTAGAACAAAAGAGAAGAAGGGGAGCAAGAAGAAGAGGAAGATGATAAAAATGATGGACAAGGCTCATATCTTTGGATTATAGCAATCATTACGACAAGGCTCTAGTAGTATGATTTTTTTCTTGTGCATTTTTCTCACAAAATATAAAATATCACCAAGAAAGTGACATATTGATTTCTTTTTATTTTCTACGAACTTTTTTCGATTACAACCCTAAATTATCCTTTTTAACAAATCTGCATCCCTTTTAGAAATTCTTTCGTCTTTCGCCTCATGTCACTTTTTTTTTCATTTTCATTTTTTGTTAAATTATTAGGCCCAGGCACTTGCAATGATGTAGACTTAATTCCTTCAAAGGCCATAATGTAAATTTTAGACTTTCCTTGTTTCAAAAAAAAAAAGACTCTTGTTAATTTATACACTCCTTCATCCTGATTTATTTTTCAATTCAGTAGGAAGTAAAGGAGCTAGTACACAAACACAATTGTGATAATCTCAAAATCAGATAGATAGCTTTTAGAAATGAACATTTTTTTGTTAACGTCTTTTAAATCAAATACATTTTATCCAATGTTTTCACTTGTCAAAGAAAAAAGATACGCAGGTGCATTTACAACTTAAGCTTTTCTTTCTTCCTTTCTGTTTATATCTACCTTTTGGAACGGCCCACACACATATCTATAAATCAACAACAATTATTAGGTGATAAATATCTCCGCCTTATTTGTCAAGCAAAGTTCAACCTATGTCACTAAAGTGTGTAATAACCATTCCTTGTTAGAAAAATCACCGCAAAGCCTGATTGTTGTGGGTTTTTAGGAGAAAAAAATGCCACAAATTTTCGCTATGAGCATTTAGGCCAATTATTATGAACGGTAACAAAACCCAGCGCCAGGGGACAACTAGGGTGAAAATTGAATACAAACTTGAGTCAATTTTACATCAACAGAGTTCCCTACAGTTTGCGGCTAAATTTAATGAAGATAACGCGGAAACCAACAAGTGACATTCACAACTAATCCAATTATTCGCTTGCCTTCACATTTTGAAGAGCTTCTGCTATCTTAGATGAAATTAAGAGTCACGGCAATATTTCATTGAAGATTCTAACAAAAAGCTTGTAAAGAAATGAACATGATATAATATACGAAGTACCTGGGTTGACCGATAGAGAAATAATGAATTGGGGAAACAAATTCAGCTGGAAATGGATTTGCATGTGAATAAGTCCGTGTTTGTGCTTTGCCGGCGGAGCGTGTAAAAACGCAGTGCCATGAATAGAAGTCTCTAACCATTTCTCCGCGGTTTATGCAGCGCAGACGGCTGGAAAGGGCGACGAGCTACGTTGGGAAAAGCCCTCCTCGCTAGACTGCTTGGCGCCTAAACTCCTTTGTAAATTGCCGCCGGGCCAGACTCTGTAGTGCTAGCGGGAAGTTCCCCGATAGCGAGAGCTCGTCAGCGCGCGTGTGTGTGTAAGCTTCGCAGCATTTATATACAAAGCACGCGTGCATCTATACACAACGATACACGGCTGTAGCGGAATATAAAAATCAATGCTTTGAAATCGGTACCAATCTTT